GAAAAATAAGTGTTCATTGTCTTGCCTTCCATGATTTTCAACCCAAATGCATTTTAGGAAATTGCCCGGGTGCATCATTAAAACACTCTAATATCACTGTTAACACTGTCCAGGTTGATGGGACTTATATCTGCAGTGTTTTTTATTTTATAAAGAGCTCTCATGATCTCTTTTATCCTTACAGAATCCCCAGAAGGTATTACCTTTCTCTGTTTTACAAGGGAAGAAATTAAGTGATTTTCCCCAAATTACCCAGCCAGGAAAATGATAGAGCCCTGTACTCCTCGTTCTTTCAGTGTATGCTTTCACATAGTATGGTCTTCACAGTATGACACTCTGGCTAAGACAGGACAAACCAAAGTGTATCAGGACTCACCTCTCTGGTTTTGGAGGCTCTATAATTTTATCAACATAGCCTAAAATGGCATTAGCTTTGGGGGCACTTTTATCTGGTCTTGTTTTTGACTAAACAGTATGCAGTATGTGGCCTGAGCTATTTTTTCCTGTGCTCTCTTTTCACCCCCATCTTAAAAGGCCCTAGGGTAGAAGTTTCAGCAAAGTGTTTCCTTCCCTCCTACATTTGCCCAGTTCAGTCAGGCCTCTGAAATGCATGACCAGGTTCTCAATACTTACACCTGCTCCAGATGGTCAGGTGGCAGGAATGCAACTCTCTCCCTCAATACCCAGTTTGTTCTAGTAGGAAGAGGGCCAGGCCAGGCTTGGTAGCTCATGCCTATAGTCTTAGCATTTTGGCAGGTGAAGGTGGGGGGATTGCTTGAGCCCAGGAGTTCGAGACCAGCCTGGGCAATGTGGCAAAACCCTATCTCTACAAAAAAAATACAAAAAATTAGCCAGGCATGGTGGTGGTGGTATATGCCTGTAGTCCCAGCTACTTGGGAGGCTGAGGTGGAAGGATCACCTGAACCTGGGGAGGTACAGGCTGCAGTGAACTGTGATTGTGCCACTGCACTCCAGTCTAAACAACAGAGACCCCATCTCAAAAAAAAAAAAAAAAAAAAAAAAAAAAAAAAAAAAAAAAGGGAATTAGAGGGAATAGGAGCCTAAAGGCCCAGATTCTGGTACAAACTACCAGTCTCATTCTGTGGTCTTAGTTACATCACTCAATGCAGTGAGCACCAGTTTCTTGATCAAAAAAATGAAGACAATAATAGCTATGTTATAAGTCTGCCACAAGAATCCAGTGAAACAAGTGTGAAACACTTGCTGGGTTTAATTTTCTGCTATAGCCATCTTGAAATTCTTTTTTTTTTTTTTTTTTTTTTTTGAGACAGAGTTTCGCTCTTGTTACCCAGGCTGGAGTGCAATGGCGCGATCTCGGCTCACCGCAACCTCCGCCTCCTGGGTTCAGGCAATTCTCCTGCCTCAGCCTCCTGAGTAGCTGGGATTACAGGCACGTGCCACCATGCCCAGCTAATTTTTTTGTATTTATAGTAGAGACGGGTTTCACCATGTTGACCAGGATGGTCTCGATCTCTCGACCTTGTGATCCACCCGCCTCGGCCTCCCAAAGTGCTGGGATTACAAGCTTGAGCCACCGCGCCTGGCCCGTCTTGAAATTCTTAACAATTTTTGAAGGAGGAGCCCTGTGTTTTCATTTTACACTGGGTCCCCCAAAATTATATAGCTGGCTTTACCTGCAAGCCCTTGGCCAAGTTACTTCACCTCCGTAATCTATAATTAATTGAAATGAATTGAATTGTTAGGAAATCAATTGTGAGGACAATTCTCAATCCTTCCTCTACTTTAGCAAAGTTTGACACTGTTGATTAGTCTCTCTTCCTTGAAACATTCTTTCCTCTTGGCTTCCAGGACACTGTATTTTTCCGGTTTTCCCCTACCTCACTGGCTGCTCCTTTGCTGTTTTCTCCTTACCCTGTTAGCAAATCCAAAATGAAACTCCTGATCATCTCCTCCAGGCCTGCTTCTCCCAGTCTTCTTCATCTGTTAATGCTAACGCCATCCTTCCAGTTGTTCACACCAAACCTTTATCTTGATTCTTTATGTCTCACCACATACAAGTTATAAGTTAATCCAGAATCTGATCATGACTTCACCGCTACCATCATCCAAACCTTAATCATCTCTCCTCTGGATCATTACAATATCCTTCTGATTGTTCCTCTTGCTTCCTCTGACCCTGTCCCACACATTAGCCAGAATAATTCTTTAAACATGTAAGTCAGATCATATCACTCCTCTGTCCAAAACCATGCCATGACTATCCATCTCACTCAGAGTAGAAACCCTACAAGGGGCAATAACAGGCTTCCTCTCTGATCCCACCTCCTTACCACTCCCCTCCTTGGGCCATGTGCTGGTGCCTCTATACCTGGAATGCCCTCCCAGATATCAGCATGGCATATCTGGCCTCTCATCTGCTTCAGTTGTGTTCACCTGTCACCCTATCAGTGGAGACTTCTCTGACCACATGATTTAAAATAGCAGCCACCATCCTATTTTCTTTATCCTATTATGCCCAGCTCAGTTTTCTCCAAAGCACTGATCACCATCTGATACATTATATATTTTACTTATTTCCTTATTGTTTATCTCTCCCCATTAAAATGTAGGCTTCATAAAGGCAGGGACTTTGCTGTTCAATTACTCTACCTAGCACATAGAACAGTGCTGGGCACAGAATGAATGACAGTAGAAAGAACCCTGGCACAGATGATAGTATTGCTATTATGAAGTCACAGCAGCATCAAGCCCTGAGTGAGTGAAGTACTGTTCCAGGCTGCATGTCCATGAAGCAGGGAGAGAGGGCAATTATGGGGACTACACGAGCCAAGCCTCCCACCAGATCATACTATGGAGACAGAAAAGTGGACCAGGAGTTGAAACTGCTCTCTAAGGGTTTATGGCCTAGAGAGAGGTTTATGTATACATGCAAATAACTCTAGAACAAAGCAGCATTTGTTAAAAATACGTGGACTTTAGTGACTAACACACATTCTAGAAATTCCAGTTAGACAATTCTAACTAAATACCAACTAAATTTTTAACTATAATTTTCTACAGAGAGACGGGACATGAACTATGGCTTGTAAACTTACTGTAGGCTATTTCTGTCTCAAATTCCCGCTCTGGCCTGTTTATCATGCCAGAGACACCTTGCCTGACTTCCAATCTAGTTTGCTCCAAAGTATCTCTCCACGGGCCCCCTCCACCCAGTATTACCTTCAATTTCCTGTTAACTTGAAACCCCACCCTCTTACAGTCCCTCCACACTACTTCTAGATGCAGGGAACATGGGGCAGGGGTGGAATCGACTTAGGTACATTATAACAGGATATAAAGAATCTAAATATTATTTCCTTACAATACAGATGTACATACCTTCTCCTCTATGAGTCTACAGGACACACAGCTCAGGGACTGCACCATCCAACTCTATAGCCTCACAGCCTTGCTCAGTATGTAGCACAGAGAAGGCATTAAATAAAATTTGCTGAATTGTTGAACTGGGTGTTATAAGCTCTGAGTATGGATAATTTTATTCAAGAAATACCTCTGCATCCTCTGAAGGTGTCTCAGAGGGATTCTATAATGTTATTTTATTAAACTATACTAATGTAAAGAAACAACCTAACTAGTAAGAATTAAAACACATCAGGTAAAGGGACCAATATTTTAAAAACACTATTTTCTAATTTTTAAAGTTACTTTGAGATCTTTAAACCCCACATCTGAAAATCCAAAATTTTCTTTTTTTGAGACGGAGTTTTGCTCTTGTTACCCAGGCTGGAGTGCAATGGCGCGATCTCGGCTCACCGCAACCTCCACCTCCCGGTTTCAGGCAATTCTCCTGCCTCAGCCTCCTGAGTAGCTGGGATTACAGGCACACGCCACCATGCCCAGCTAATTTTTTGTATTTTTAGTAGAGACAGAGTTTCACCATGTTGACCAGGATGGTCTCGATCTCTTGACCTCATGATCCACCCGCCTCGGCCTCCCGAAGTGCTGGGATTACAGGCTTGAGCCACCATGCCCGGCCTGAAAATCCAAAATTTTCAAGAGATAAATTACAAAGAATTCCTGCTGTTCCATGCAGGATTCCTTTGAGTAGGGGCTCCCTGAAGTTATCTGGATTTTCAGATACAGAGATTTACTTAAGAAAAAGACCAGGGAACTGAGAGAGGTAAAGCTAAACATTAGAATTTAGTAATTAAAAACCAAGTTAATTTGTAAGGCAGATACTTGGGTGTTTGTTATATCATTCTCTAATATGTTTACATCATACACACATATTTATACCCAGGAAAGATTAAGCACACAAAATGATAACCTATCTCTGTACCCAACACTGAGTTAGGTTCTGGGAATACAACTGTGACCACACAGTCTCAGCTCCCACTTTCTTTTTTTTTTTTTTTTGAGACAGAGTTTCGCTCTTGTTACCCAGCCTGGAGTGCAATGGCACGATCTCGGCTCACCGCAACCTCCGCCTCCTGGGTTCAGGCAATTCTCCTGTCTCAGCCTCCTGAGTAGCTGGGATTACAGGCACGTGCCACCATGCCCAGCTAATTTTTTGTATTTTTAGTAGAGACGGGGTTTCACCTAGTTGACCAGGATGGTCTCGATCTCTTGACCTCGTGATCCACCCGCCTCGGCCTCCCAAAGTGCTGGGATTACAGGCGTGAGCCACCGCGCCCGGCCCCTTATTTTCACTTTCACAAGAACTGTATGAATTAGGCAAGACAGAAATTATTTACTCATTTTGCAAATGCAGAAAGAGAGTCATAGAAAAGGGAGGTGACTTGCCCTGGGCCACTGAGCTGGTTGGAGCCTAGATTGTGTTCTATACCAGGCCACCTCCATTTGTAAAAGGAACTTCGGATCCAGACACTTCCTGGCAGATAGAACCAAAAGAGTGCTGACTGGAGGCTGTGCCATGCCAGGCTGTGGCCAGAGAGTTTCCCTGTATAAATAGCAACCTATGCTAGAGGTTGCTAGCACCAGCCATTTCCCCTACTCACACCTGTGCAGTGTGATAAAGAAAGTAGAATTAGCCTGAAGTTGTGGTCCAGCCAGATAAAACTTTTAGGCGGGAAGTCAAGTGACAGGCAAGCTTGTATGTGTGGTTTTTTTTTTTTTTTTTTTAAGTGTTAGTTGTTTTTGATATTTTTAAAAAGCGTTTAGACTGCTCGTGGAAGTCAGACCAAAATAGCAGGAAGGTATTACAGCAAGATGGATTTTGGAAAGGACCAATCTTATTTGAAGCACCAACAAATACTTGATCCTCTTCAAGAAGAGAACCATTCTCCAGGTAATGAAAAATACCTTAAGGGCTGGTGGCTATTGGGAAGAATTTGGTATGATAATTTTCTCTTTTCAGCAGGATCTGGCCAAAAAAAAGGAAATATACTTAAATGAAAGCTAATGAGAATACCCAATACTTTCACTGGGTAGTTCATCCAGTAATTTCATTAGATGGTTGTGGTAAAACAAGTGAGTTCATAGATTTCCTTGGTAACATAAATTTGGTCAAACTTTTGGAAAGAGATCTGGCAATAAGTGGTGAGAGCTATAACACTGCTCATTCTTTTGACTCACTAATCTCAGTCCTTGGATCTATCCTAAAGCAGCATTTTTCAAAATGTTTTGTGGAACCTTAGGCCTTCAGATACTCTAAGACATTGTTTTAAATTTTTTTTGCTACATGGATCTCTTTGGCATTCTGAGGAACCCATAGATTCCTTCTCTGAATAAAAGTTTTAAAGGCATAAAATTAAATATATAAAATTACAAAGGAAATAATTATATTAAGATACAAATATCAAAATTAAAAATTGTGATATAGTAATCTATATACGATTATTTATAGATGGATTAGATTACAATATCCAGTGGTGGATCTAATAATAATGGTATCAAGTCAAATAAATTATAGTCAGTAAGTGATATTTTAAGGTATCTGCAACAACAGTAATGTTATATAAAAAATTTGTGATTTCTTTATAGGGACAAAGTCATATACTGTGGGGGAGGGAGAGCATCAGGAAGAACAGATAATGGATGTTGGGTTTAACACCAAGGTGATGGGATGATCTGTGCAGGAAACCACCATGGCACGTATTTACCTATGTAATAAACTTGCACATCCTGAACATGTACCCCTGAACTTAAAAGTTGAAGGAAAAAAAGTCATATACTGCCAAAACTACTGTGGTTTGTTATCTACATTCATAATTGAAGGAAATGTCAACTTTAATTAGATGTTGGTAAAAATAAAGGTATAATTTTTTCTTTATAAAGAACCCTTATCCCAAGAACAAGAGGTACCATGGTTCAAGGGGCATGCTCTATCCTTCAGAGGTCCCAGGGCAGATGTGCATCACTTCACAGGCTCTAGGAAGCTCTACATCAAAGACTCGCTAATTTTTCTCTACCTTAGTTGGCAGCAGAAACTTTTTTGAGCATACCTTTAATTTTCCAAAGCACTTGAAGAAACACCATTCTAAGGAAAAAATCCCAAAGAAAAGCTATATGCAATGACTATGCTTATTATAATTTGATATACAAGGCAAAGATTACTAGCAACAACCTACATGCTCAATCCAAGAGGAAGCAGTGGGTAAATGAGAGTAGTACATCAACTAGATTATGTATTATATTGTCATTGAAATTATCATTATGAAGACTACATCATGGAAAATAGTTCTAATATAATGTTAGCTTAATAAAAAGATAAAATTGTGGTATGCTATTCTTACAACTTTGTATAATAAAAGGAACGGACAGAAATGAGTAAAAAAATGAAAACAAATTATCATGTTAAAGACAGCAAAATATGGCTGCTTTTTTCATTATTTGTACAATATGTAAAATTATTTTGAAGAAATTAATAGGTTGGTAGCACATTTATGTATAAATACTCTGTAAGAGTAGTTCTCTGACCTTTTCATTCAAAAACATTTGCTGAATGTCTGCTTCCAGGCTTTCTCTGGAGATACAAGTATAAATGAGATGTAGTCCTTGTCTTCAAAAAGCTAGGAGGAAAACCTAGCATAGAGATTCTGCTACTTGACTATAGGACTTTTGCTGATAAACACCAGAGTTCATCACTTTCTCTAATAACTTTCATTTTATTACAGAAGTCATTGGAACCTGGAGTTTGAGAAACAGAGAACAACTTAGAAAAAGAAAAGCTGAAGTGCAAGAAAAGGAAACGTCACTATGGCTATTTGGGTATGGTAGCATCACAAAGGAAAGGGAACTAATATATTTATTGAGGATGTTATGCATCAAGTAGTGCTGTGCACTTTTACACTATTTTATCTTTCCAACGATCCTGTAAATCAGGCATTATTATCACTATTTTACAGACAAAAAGAGACTAAGCCTCCAGTGAATTAAATCTCTTGCTGAAAGTCTCACACACACAGCTGGTAAAATGGTGGGAACAGATTTTTTTCCCCCGGTCTCTCTCTCTCTTTTTTTTTTTTTTCAAAGATTGGGTTTCACCATGATGGCCAGGTTGGTCTTGAACTCTTGACCTCAGGTGATCCACCCACCTCAGTCTCCCAAAGTGCTAGGATTACAGGTGTGAGCCACCACTCCCGGCTCCCTGGTCTCTTTTAATTAAAGCACTAAGCAACCAAATTATATTGTAGAGAAGCCCGGCGTTTATCTCCTATGGTAATATACACATAGAAGCATCTTGCTGGGAGTGGGAAGCATCATTGAAGAAGCCTCCAAGATTGTTCTCCAAACTTTCTATTAGCTAAATTTTTACTGAATGAGTGTGATTAACTCTCCATGGAGTAAGCCAAAACATTTGCTGTAAATGAGTGATACAGTTTAGATCACCTGTATGTTTACCTGTACGTAAACACAGGAAGGGAATACAAGAGTGTGATTATAAATTAGGCAGCATCTAATTGCATCCATTTCAAATATGATTGTGACAACTGGGGACTTGCTTGCTTGGAAGGGGAGCCCAAAGAGCCAAAAGTGCAGCATCCATCTAAGCCAAAGTGTCTCCACCTTGGCACTGCTGACACTGTGGGCAGGAGAATTGTTGCGTGGGGCTGTCCAGTGCATTGCAGATGTTTCGTAGTATTTTCTGGCCTCTAGATGTCAGTAGCAATCTTCTACTCCAGTTGTGACAACAAAATGTCTCCAGTGGTGGTGTTGGGGGGAGACAGGCAAAATCACCCCCAGTTGAGAACCACTAATTTAAGCAAAGCACTTGTCCTATGAAAGGACATTTTCCAATCCCACAAAGGACTGAGCACTGTCTGTTCTGTTACAACAGATGTTTCTACAACACCAAGCTCACATACAATTGGTAAATAGGAGAATGATGTCAGTATAATACGGGAGTTTTGTTGGTTCATGATTTTTTTTTCCTAATCAAAAGAGCTAGAATAGTCGGAAGAGAATTACAGCTTTCAGCTGGAAAGAAAAAGCTTTCAGCTTGGCTGCTGTATAGGCAGGATTCTTTTCAGCCGGCATCCAGGGTTCCCTCCCCAGAGATGCACACCACCAGCCCTGCACAGCTCTCCACCAAGTGGCAGCTTGCACTTCCCTCCTGTGCCCAACTGAACGGCAACCCCTGCTGGCTCAGAGTTCAGGTCTCAGCAGCTTCAAGCCCGCAATTACACTATATTTACATTTACTATCCCCTGAGGCAGCCTCCCACCACAGTAAGCTGCTTGTCTGGACCATCCAAGTTCTCTCTCCTGTACCAATTATTATTTTAGTTAAAATGTTGCATAGGTTTTGAATCATTTGTCCCAAGCCTATTTGCCGCAACTCCATAACCACTGTGTCTTTATATAGAGGATGATTTTGCAGAAAGTGAGTTTTTTTTAAGGAATGAATGTATTATTTTATAGTAGAAACTTCTGTACTAGGGTCCTATGGCAGGTAACTCTATTGAAAATTATCCAGTTAGCTCCCAAATTCCATACCCACTAAGCAATCTTCCAATCATTTCTTGGCTTCCCAAGTACTTACCTACAGAGAGTGCATTTGTTTGCGAGCCCAGTGCCCAGGTATTTTCTTTTCTTTTCTTTCTTTTTTTCTTCTTTCTCTCTCTCTTTCGTTCGTTTGTTCATTCATTCATTTTTGAGACAGAGTCTCACTCTGCTGCCTAGGATAGAGTGTAGCGGCTGATCTCTGTTCACTGAAACCTCTGCCTCCCAGGTTCAAGTGATTCTTGCACCTCAGCCTCCTAAGTAGCTGGGACTACAGGTGCCCGCCACCTTGCCCAGCTAATTTTTGTATTTTTTAGTAGCGATGGGGTTTCACCATGATGGCCAGGCTGGTCTGGAACTCCTGCCCCCAAGTGATTCGTCCACCTCAGCCTCCCAAAATGCTGGGATTACAGTTGTGAGCCACTGTGTCCAGCCAGCCCAGGTATTTTCTACTATGTGTCTTTGTATTTCTGGTCATTTAAAAATTGGTCTTTAGGTTTATAGGTCAGTCTCCTTAAATCTGGTTGATGAGATCTGCCCCTGATAAATGAAGTTCGTTTCAGTGTGCTAACAGAATCAGCTTTCTGGGCTTGCTGGGCTGAGGGTACTCGCTCAAGTGGATAACACCTTGGCGAGCCTGCTGGAAGCTGACTGGATTTGCTCTGGTGATACATCTCTATAATGCTAAGGCCTGTGCCTTCTTTTCTCACTAAAACATACCATACAGTGAAACTTTATTAGTTTCAGAGAGAAGGAGCAGAGTGCATGATTATGAGCTTGAGTGTTAAAGCCAGAGTGACTAAATTCATAGCCTGGCTCCCCTACTTTGTAGCCAGAGCCCTCGGAAATATATGGAAAATAAATAATTATCATTATAAATTAATAGATTGGTACTCTGGTTTATACACTAGTCTCTTTGCATTTAGTCTGTGAGTGTTATTTCACTACCCCTGAGCAAACTCATACAATTGAATTTCTAGGCCTGCAACCCAGGCACGGCTCCTCGTCTAGGCAGCCTGCAGGTGGATGATGTATATGGCTTGATTATTAAATACAAGTGTTGGGCAAGTTACTTAACGCCTCTGTTTCAGTTTTGTCATTTGCAAAATGAAAATAATACTATCAACGGCCGGGCGCGGTGGCTCAAGCCTGTAATCCCAGCACTTTGGGAGGCCGAGGCGGGTGGATCATGAGGTCAAGAGATCGAGACCATCCCGGTCAACATAGTGAAACCCCGTCTCTACTAAGAACACAAAAAATTAGCTGGGCATGGTGGCACGTGCCTGTAATCCCAGCTACTCAGGAGGCTGAGGCAGGAGAATTGCCTGAACCCAGGAGGCGGAGGATGTGGTGAGCCAAGATCGCGCCATTGCACTCCAGCCTGGGTAACAAGAGCGAAACTCTGTCTTAAGAAAAAAAAAAAAAAAAAGAAAATACTACTATCTACTTCATAGATTGATGTCAAGATTATATGAGATAACAAAATAAATTATTTTAAACAGTGCCTGACATACAGAAGCACTAAAAGTGTTCCATATATTCATATTAGAGTACTAATTTATATTTGAATAATTCATTCATATAAGTTATGATATGTAATTTTATAATCACCACATGAAATTGGGCAGATATTATTTATACCTTACTTCACTTACAAGGCAACCAAGGCATGTGGAGGTTATGTGACTTGCCCACAATCATGAGAGTACAGACTAAAGTTTAGGCCACAGAGGTATTTTTCGTATTTTTTAAAAAACTACCAGGGAAGAACATGGACTATTATATTACTCAGATCTCCTCATATAGAGATCTACATATTTAATATCTAAGAAAAAAAAATGTGTTTCCTAAGGAATTTGGATATGCTATTCATACCTTTTTTCAAAAAATTTATAAGAACTTTATAATTTATCTGGTCACTTGTAGTAATACTGAGATGCCATAATCATCATCTTTAGATTTCCTTTTAAATACAATTTTCTTTTTTTTTTTTTTTCTTTTTTGAGACGGAGTTTTGCTCTTGTTGCCCAGGCTGGAGTGCAATGGCACGATCTCAGCTCGCTGCAACCTCTGCCTCCCGGGTTCAGGCAATTCTCCTGCCTCAGCCTCCTGAGTAGCTGGGATTACAGGCATGCGCCACCATGCCCAGCTAGTTTTTTGTATTTTTAGTAGAGACGGGGTTTCACCATGTTGACCAGGATGGTCTCGATCTCTTGACCTCGTGATCCACCCGCCTCGGCCTTCCAAAGTGCTGGGATTACAGGCTTGAGCCACCGTAAATACAATTTTCAATATTATTTTTGACTGTTTTGTTACATCTATACCTTCTTTCCTTTTTTTCCATAGCCTTATATTAGAAGTGAACACATATCCTTTTTTGCTATTGACTTCAAACTGTGTTTGGTAAGGTAGTCCTTTTAAAAACATTTTTACAATGGAAATTTCAAACACACAAAAAATGGAACAGGGTATAATTTTTCTAAATATGCAAGGAATGATGGGCACTATAAAGATATAAAAAACACTGATTTTTATCTCCAAAGAATATCTAAAATGTTTACTAAAAGAAATATAGTTTATTCAGAAATAACTGCAGTATGAGACGGCCTACATTCCTTGCCTTTAGCATGGTACTCACAATAAATCCTATAGGAGTGCTAAGCTGGGAGAACATTTTAGTCCTGTTGTCTGTTAGAAAAGGCTCTATGGAGCGGGTAGCATGAAACAGAATTTCAGTAGATTCAGAAAAATGATGAAATGATTATTTATAGTACTTCCCCCAGCCCCCAGCCCATCTGTATTAGCCATCTGTATTTGCTTATATTTGCAGTGCCTAACAATTTGTCACTGGCTGCAATTTCTATGCATATCCTTTCATCTTCTAGATCTTTAATCTATCAATTAGGGATAGGTATAATATGGCCACTCGTGCCCATCTACCAGGGTTCTTAACTTCAAGAAATGTTTTTGCAGCTTTTGACCCATTTACAGTAAACCTCATTTGAAATGTACTGTAGCAACTTAGAATTCTTCACACTAGACAATCAAGCCATCTACAGCATCCACCTGCAGGCTGCACAGACGAGGAGTTGTGCCAAGATTGCAGGCCTAGAAACTCAATTGTATGAGTTTACTCAGGGGTAGGGAAGTAACATACACAGACTAAATGCAAAGAGACTCGTGTATAAACCAGAATGCCAGTCTATTAATCTGTAATGAGAATTATTTATTTTCCATAACCACATTTTAAGAACATGCTATAACATGTGCGTACACACACACGTACACACACACACTCACACATGTTACCAAGCTCCACCAAGAGGGCTCCAGGTAAGCAAGGCATCAACGCCAAGAAGTCCTGGAGAAACATTCCCTCTCCTAAGAATTGAGAACATCTAGCTCTGCTCCTTCATTTTACAAACCAAGAGATTGAAGCCTAGAGAGATTAAGTGACTAGTTCATGATCCTCGTGCAACAAGGCAGTGGGGGACCTGGCACTGTTATAACAGCATTTATTTGAATTCTGTAGCATCATTATTGACACTAATTCTGATCTCTCTGCAGAGAACAGAAAAAACGCAAGCAGCAGAGAACAGGAAAAGGAAATCAAAGAGGCAGAAAGAGACAACAAAATACAGAATTGAAGGTGGGGCCTCAGTCACAGATAGAAAAGGAAATAGTGGAGAAAGCACTGATACCTACAGAGAAAAAAATTGAGCCACCCAGGAGTATAACCAAAGTATTTCCTTCAGTAGCCCCCCACCAGAAAGTTGTGCCTGAGGAATGCTTTTCTGAAATATGTCAAGAAGGTAATATACATCAGGAAAATTCTGAGTACCAAGAAATAGCAGTACAAAACCATTCTTCTGAAACATGCCAACATGTGGCTGAACCTGAAGACCTCTCTCCTAAAATGTACCAAGAAATATCTGGACTTCAAGACAATTCTTCCAAAATATGTCAAGACATGGCTGAACCTGAAGACATCTCTCCCAACACATGCCAAGTAATAGCTGTAATTCAAGACCATCCTTTCAAAATGTACCAAGATATGACTAAACGAGAAGATCTGGCTCCTAAAATGTGCCAAGAAGCTGCTGTACCCGAAGTCCTTCCTTGTCCAACATCTGAAGACCCAGCTGACCTTGAAGGATGCTCTCTTCAAGCATATCCAAAACCAGATGTGCCTAAAGGTTATATTCTTGACACAGACCAAAACCCAGCAGAACCAGAGGAATACGAAACAGATCAAGGAAGAGCTGAGACAGAAGGCTTTTTTCCTAAAACACAAGAAATAGCTGAGCCTAAAGACCTTTCTACAAAAACACACCAAGAATCAGTTGAACCTAAACACCTTCCTCATAAAACATGTAAAGAAATTACTTTGCCTAAAGGCCCCTCTCATAAAACAATCCAAGAAACACCTTCTGAAGGCTATTCAACTGAAATAAACCAAGAAACACCTGGGTCTGAAAAATATTCACCTGAAATGTATCAAGAAATACCTGGGCTTGAAGAATATTCACCTGAAATATGCCAAGAGACACATCAGCTTGAAGAATATTCACCTGAAACATATAAAGAGACACCTCAGCTTAGAGAAAATTCACCTGAAATACACCAAGAAACACCAAGGCCTGAAGACCTCTCTACTAAGACATATAAAAATAAGGATGTGCCTAAAGAATGCTTTTCAGAACCATACCAAGAAACAGGTGGGCCCCAAGGCCAGGATCCTAAAGCACACCAGGAAGATGCTAAAGATATTTATACTTTTCCTCAAGGTAAGGGCTGTTTATAGCATCAAGGTAGGTATGTCTTCCTCAAAATAGTGATTTACAATCTTCTCTGACAATCCTGGGTTATTCCCAGTTATTTCAATGGATACTATGAATTTCATTGGCTAGTTTTAAGTAAACAATATTTTCATGAAACCAATGTCTGTCTTGGCATATTTCAAAAAGTTAAAAAAAATTGAAAATGCAAGCATGTACAGTAAGTACTTACTCATACTCTCTATCCATTATAAGATGCTATAGTCTGTGAAATAACCCCAGTATAGGACAAATTATGTGCAACTCATTTTTAAAAATGATTAAGTCTACATTAACAATAAAACTTGATGAATGAAGTTTTTCCAGGAAATTTAATTTTCCTGATAAATGGAAGGCAGGTAAATTCATAGTACAAGGTACTGAGGGAGGCACAAAGGTGTAAAATATGATCCTGTTACTAAGGAACTCATTTTCATAGGTTTTATCAGGTTTACCAAAAGCCCTTTCTATTTCAAGATTTGTTCCTGAAAAACTTTCCTGAGCATAGCATTTTGAAAATAATGCAACCTTTCTTTAATTTCACTTGCCTCAGAAACATAACTGAGAACTTCAGTTCTCTTTGTATAATACTGTAGACAGTATAAGAAATGGACTGAGTCTATCAGACATTAATTATCCCCAGGAAACTTTTCTAAAGAAATACATTGCAGTGAAAAGCAGACATGTGAAGCGCTACGTGCACTCACAGGGTACCCTGCTGGAGAAGCAGCTCTAACCAACACAGTGTCCTGATTCTGAACAGTTTCATTCTAAACCCAGCAAGGTCAATATAGTCAATTAATTCATGCTCATTTTATTTTTTGCTTTGTTTAACCAAACAATGGGAATATCTATTTTTGCTGATTATAAAAGTATTAAGTATTCATTATAATAAAGCAACATGCAAGTGAATATCAAGTAAAGGTCCCCTATAATATCTTCTATCTCCAGTTCCCAGTGTTAAGGTTGTTTTGTTTCAACAAATGAGACAGTACCCATCCTATTCTGTAACTTGTTTTTGTTTTCATTTACAATATGTATTGGAGCCATCTTTTTTTTGTTGTTGTTCTCTGAAGTGAATGAATTGAACCAAAGTATTGGAGCCATCTTTATGACATCTTTTGTAACATCTGGATGGTACTGTGCTATATGTATGTGCAATAATTTGTTCAACCAGTCTTTCTGTAAGGATGAACACTTAGGTTACTGCCAAGTTTTACTATTACAACAATGTTCAATGCATATAATTGGGAATAACATTTATTTAGTTAACATTTATCTGGTACTCTTCTATGTGCCAGACCATATTAAATATTTTATGTGGATTGTTTTATTCAACGTTAAAAACTCTAGTGGATAGGCCGGGCGCGGTGGCTCATGCCTATAATCCCAGCACTTTGGGAGGCCGAGATGGGTGGATCACGAGGTCAAGATATTGAGACCATCCTGGTCAACATGGTGAAACCTCGTCTCTACTAAAAATACAAAAATTAGCTGGGCATGGTGGTGCACGCCTGTAGTCCCAGCTCCTTGGGAGGCTGAGGCAGGAGAATTGCTTGAACCCAGGAGACGGAGGTTGTGGTGAGCCGAGATCACGCCACTGCACTCCAGCCTGGGTAACAAGAGCGAAACTCCGTCTCAAAAACAAACAACAACAACAACAAAAAAAACCTCTAGTGGATAAATAATACTCCCATTTTTAATATAAGGAAATGGAGGCACTGGAGGCTTAAGTTTGTCTGATTATTTCCTTTGAAGCAATCCCTAGAAATTGAATTGTTGGGCCAAAGGGTCCCCACATTTAAAGTTTGGATTTACAGTTAGACTAGCCTCCAGACACGTGGTAGCAATTCACACAAGACAGGTGCCTTTTCCTTATACCTTTGTCAGCACTGTATATTATGACGTTTAAAAAATTTTTGCCTTTCTGCTAGGTTAAAAAATATACTTAATCTTAGCCAAAAGGCTAAGAAGAAATAGCTTAAAAAATAAGACCCACCTAATGGTCTTAATCACTCCCTTTTTAGAATTAATGCTACTAGACATCTCAGGATTATTATAAATATAATTTTTAAAAGAATTGTCTGTTTGAATCTTTGTCCCATTCAACATTTTTGATTTCTATCTTTTTCTGATTAAAAAATCTCTTTAAATAATAGTTTTTACTGTGTATATGTTGCAAATATTTTTCCAGTTGTCTTTGATTTGTTTATAGAGGTTTTTGCCATACGTAATTTTAATTTTTAGGTATTCAAACCTACTAGTCTTTTCCCTTATGGTTTCTGGTCTCTGTGTTCTACTTAGAATCCTAAGATTATTAAAAACACTATTATTTCTATAACTTTATGGTGTTTAAATATTTACTCCATCTGTAGTTTGTTTTTGTGAATGTTGTCAAGTAGTTTTTCTTCCTCCAGATGGATAGTCAATTGTCCCAATACAATTTATTGAATCTGTTTATCTATTTTATTTGATTTTACAGAAATGAAAGAAAAACCCAAAGCAGAAAAACCAGAAATACCAGCAATGAATGAGATTCATCCAGAAAATGATGTCTATAGTTATGTTTTGTTTTAACAACGCTCAACCATAAAGTTGTAGTCCAATGGAACATACAGCTTAATAGTTCATGTATGACTTTCTCAAAATATTGTAAAACCTTTGACAATGCTCATTGATACTTACTATTTTTTCTATTTGTAGACCAGATCTAAAATAACTAACATTTTTTAAGGCTCTACCACATAGATAATATTATGCTAGAGTGTGTGTGAGTGTGTGTGTGTGTATATGTGTGTATATGTTGTGGGGAGGATACCAGTGGGAAGAGAAAAATAAAGAAGGGGAGAGGACTGGATAGCGGATTTTTCCCCCTAAGAAAATTATGTAAGTCTTAAGAGCAGATAAATGACTAAGACTGAACACTTACATTTTGGGGAAATTTAAGTGTTATATTAGTTTTCCTGTAACAGTAGCATCAAAATTTTATTCAGGCTTTAGTTAGCTCTTTTGGTTAATTTTAACAAGTCTCCTTAAAAGATATTTCGGAGTGATGAATGTAGTTTACTTTTGTATTTGAATTTTGATTTTCTATTTTTACTTTTTAAATATTGTATTTATGCAAAATGTACATTAAATCATTATTACATGCTTAACTGTGTGGATGGCATAATGTTAAGAACTGTGGGGCTAGAAGACCTATATAACACCCCATGGGGGATTTAATTTAGTTTCATGGGGAAATAAGAATGCTCACTTTTTGCTGGAATGACCTGAAAACATTACACAGGCATGGAGCCTTGAAAGACGGAAAGAATTTGCATAGATGAGGATAGCAGCATTACTGTATGTGACACAGAGAAGGGTGACTTCAAGACACGTTCAAGAGAATGGCAGGCAAACTATGGTTCACATAGGGTCCATATAAAATAGTAGTAGGCGTGCATGAAAAAGCTTATGTTATCAGGGCATAGAGAATTTTGCATATTTTTGAACAATGGAATGGCAATTTTAGTATTTTAGGAATATGATAAAGATGGTGATAATGGTGAAGGTGAACTGAAAAAGACAAGAGACAGGGGGCAGGAACAGAAACTATTCTGGATGGGAAGATGTCTGAAAATCTACTCTGGTATTTTTTGTGTTGTTTTCCTTCTGTTATTACAGAGGACTAAGGAGATTTTTGCAAATAAAGGTTCATTCAGCAAGAACACATTGCACAAGCTTTCTGTATAGGCACTGTGCTAGGTACTAGGCTACATCAAAGAACAAGGCAGGGTTCTAGTCCTTCAGGTATTTATGGCATAATGAACATGAGAGAGCAGTGGTTCTCTCAACCCTTCTGGCACATTAGACTCACTTGGGAATGTTTCAAAAATACATGTATGTCTAGACTTATCCCCCAGGGATTATGATTCCCCAATCTGGGTGATGTACAGGCATAGGTATATTTATTTTTTAATTGTTTATTTAAATAATAGCTTTTGGAGGAATAATTTTAGAATTATAGAAAAGTTGTCATGATAGCCCAAAAGTTGCTATATACCTTTCACCTAGTTTACCCTAATATTAATGTCTTATATAACCATGGTTCATTTGTCAAAACTAAGAAATTAGGATAGTTACACTACCATTAACTAGAGACATTATTCCGTTTTCATGAGTTTTTCCACTAATGTCCTTTTTCTGCTTCAGGATCCAATCCAGGATATAGCATTGCATTTAGGATGTTTTTATTTTAAAAGCTCTCCAGACAATCTTAATGTGCAGCTAGGGTTGAGAACCACTGGTACAGTGGGATGTTATAATATTGTTTCCCTCCTATCCGCCTACCCACTTTTGGGTATACATTAAATTTTTTACCATCAGGATGTATTTACTGTAAAATTATTCATACCCCCATTATATTTATTATACAACATAATGAGGGCAGCACAACCATATAATAGTTCCTCACCTCTCAGTGACATTTCACCATTTATACTTTCACATAACTATTTTATATGATCTGTACAAAAGTCTGTGAAATAGGCCAGGCAGTGATTATCACTTCCACTTAGAGATGAGGGAATAACACCATAGAGGGTAGGTACTCACCCAAAGTCACATCTGACTTCCTCAGTGCTTTTCGTTTCTTCTTTGGAATGCTTCTGTCTCAATTTCACCTGCCAGAGTGGGTCAAAATTAGAGGGAAAAAAGAGTAAACTGAAGTGTCAAGTTTCAACAGTATTGCATTAAGTGTACAGGAACACAAAGATGAGATGGGGAAGTAGAGGGAAAGAGGAATGCAGTACATTAGAGGAAGCAGAATTTCTCTCTCCACTTCTCGGGACCCTTTCTGCTTGCCCTCTTACATTCCTCCCTGTATTCACACACAACCTTTGCTTTCTCACCATTCTTGTTCAAACATCAGTGTGTATCTAAAATTCTTCCAGCGTTCTTGGCTTAGAACCTTGAGGTGATAGAATTTAAGTTTTGCAAGAATCCACCTAGCTTGACTTTGTGCTACTCTCCACTCATGTTAAGCTCTTAGAAATCCATGAAACCTATGATATTATATTCAAAATGATGTGTGAGATGGTCCAAAGCTTTAATTGATTCTCAAAGAGTCCTTCACCCAAATCGAAGGTTAAGAGTCACTCTACTGAGAAGTGTTTCTAAAAGTAGTACAAGCTGAAGACCACAGAATTATTTAGGTCATTTCTTTAAGGCAGATTTCTAGGTCCTATCTCTGGAGAAGAGGTTAAGTCTTATAAAATGCAAATAATCAGATATAACTCCAGACAGATAATAAGAACTTCAAATCATAGACTAATAAATGTGCTGCATATTTAAGTTCCTGTTTTCAGTCAAGAGTAATTTTACCTTTACAAGAGGTAGCAATCAGGCCGGGCGCGGTGGCTCAAGCCTGTGATCCCAGCACTTTGGGAGGCCGAGGCGGGTGGATCACAAGGTCGAGAAATCGAGACCAACCTGGTCAACATGGTGAAACCCCGTCTCTACTAAAACTACAAAAAATTAGCTGGGCATGGTGGCGCGTGCCTGTAATCCCAGCTACTCAGGAGGCTGAGGCAGGAGAATTGCCTGAACCCAGGAGGCGGAGGTTGCGGTGAGCCGAGATCGTGCCATTGCACTCCAGCCTGGGTAACAAGAGGGAAACTCCGTCTCAAAAAAAAAAAAAAAAAAAAAAAAAAAGAGGTAGCAATCTATTTCACTAGTATCCCCAAGTCAGCTTTGCATTTCAGCACTTGTCACACTTGGTAATTACATATTTTTGTGCGTAATTATCAACATCTACCATGACCTCCAGCAGAGCGAATCTCTCTCTCTTCAAATCTAGTCTTTCCACAAATTAAGCGGGACTATCATTTTCAGCAACACCACCATCTAGTGGCAAGTGCAGTAATTCTGGCTCAGTTTTACAGCACAGGTGTATCTCCAATGGTTCTCAAACTTGTTTCTCCAGCTGCCCAAAACTGTTCCTCCAAAAAATAAAAAAAAAATAAAATAATAATAATAATGGCAGCCTTTTCTAAATTGTCATACAAAAAAGACCTGCCAAAAGACACTATATGAATTTGATCAACTTTATTTTATCTTTTAAACCACAATCTTTAATCTTTTGGCTCCTACCGCTCGTTATTTTCTACTATAAATCAACAACAAATGGAAGGACATAGAAACATCTTTTCAAGATCGTTAGGCTTTTCAATCTGTGAACTCATATGCTTTTGAATATTTTATATTGCTGATAACATAATGTTAACAGGTAAAAAGATAAAAGATTAAAAAATTTCTCCTAGATTAAAAAGTACAGAGAAGCCGGGCGCGGTGGCTCAAGCCTGTAATCCCAGCACTTTGGGAGGCCGAGGCGGGTGGATCACAAGGTCAAGAGATCGAGACCATCCTGGTCAACATGGTGAAACCCCGTCTCTACTAAAAATACAAAAAATTAGCTGGGCATGGTGGCGCGTGCCTGTAATCCCAGCTACTGAGGAGGCTGAGGCAGGAGAATTGCCTGAACCCAGGAGGCGGAGGTTGCGGTGAGCCGAGATCGTGCCATTGCACTCCAGCCTGGGTAACAGGAGTGAAACTCCGTCTCAAAAAAAAAAAAAAAAAAAAAAAAAAAAAGTACAGAGAAACTTGCTATAGGTGAGACAGCATTACAAGTGGGTAAAAGATAGGCTATCATTGAAGGACAACTGGTCATTACATGGGATTAAAAATGATTCTTGTTAGCTCTTAGCTTCTCAAGAGCTGTCCAGAAATGACAATAATCCTTTCGATGTACATGGCATGTTGACTCTTATAATTTCATTCTCACTTCAGTTCTGGTAAGGTGTGGACCACAAGAAACAGTCCCCACTCCTTAACCCTTAGCACATAGTAGGGCTCCTTTATAACATCCGCCACAATTGAAGTAAGATTTATTTGGGGTTCATTACTGACAAAGCACATGGAAAAACTGGAACATAAAAAGGATAATCGCATGTGTTTTCTCACCACCCAAGGATAATCTTTCTTTTTTTTTTTTTAGAGACGGGGTCTCACTCTGACACCCAGGCTGGAGTGCAGTGGCGCGATCACGATTCACTGCAGCCTCGAACTCCTGGGCTTAAGCGATCCTCCTGCCTCAGTCCCCTGGGTAGCTGGAACCACAGGTGCCCGAGAATTCTTAACATTTCTTAACATCCAGTTCTTCCGCTCTGTAATTACATATACACATCCTTTAAAAATTATACCCATACTGGACGTGCAGGTTGCTTAATAATGTTTCGAGAAAGACACAGTTGCGCGTAGTTCTTCATCGAGGTGTGCGCCCTCAGAAGGCGCGGGAAGCGGAGCCGCAGCCTGTAAGGTCCGGCAACTGCAGCAGCTTTGCGTAAGATAAACGATATCGCGGTCCTGAAGGGGAACACGCCTAGAATACAGGTTCAGCGGTTCACGTAGACCTCCCAGCAACCCGCAGCGCCACACTGCGCCGGCGCACTCCCCAGAGCTGGCGGGACCCGGCCGGCGAGGCTACTACGCTTGCGTCAGGCATGAAAAGCGGAAGCGGAAGGCTGGACGCCTCGGCGGGCACCTCAGCAACCAGTAGCCATGAGCGGCTTGGAGAAGCCAGGGCCTCGGCCTACAGCGAATTTGTGCGGCTGCGTGAAGCCGGCTCTGGAGACAGGTAACTTCCAAGAGACTGGCGGTGCCGCACTCCGGAGAGGCTTAGCTCCAGGCAGCTGACTTCATTGCCGAGAGGGGCGTGAAATGCAAGATCTAGAACTGACGTGCGTCATTCTCATACTTACGGCGAGGGCGTAGGTCACGTGCTGCGGCGATCACGTGATGTGTCTAGTCGCGCGGGATGACGTCATCTGGCTTGTTCCGCTTTGATAGAAGATTTGTCTGCCTACTCTTGGTTCAGTAGCTGAAGCAGCCCCTTGAAGCGTAGCGGTTTTTTCCGTACGGTGTTCTCCGTGCCATAGGAAATGGGAAGTGGTGTTAGGCGCGTTAGAAATCAGTAAATGCCATAGGAGAGAGGCATCCTGCCCTGTAAGAATGAGAGAGAAGGGGAAAAGTTTGGGGGGAGAAAATAGCTTTAAATTGGGCCTACAATTTGTTTCTCTTTACTCACACGTCTTCGCGGAGGAATATATTAGCTTTAGAAACTAGAAAGCAGTGTAAGTAAATTAAAATAGCCTGCCAGAGAAAGCCATTGTCAATATCTTGGTGTCTACCTTCCATTCTTGTTTCTTTGCATGCACTCTTGGAAAGTGAGGTACTATGCCACCCCACTGTTTAGTAACTCTAAAAGAATTTTTAAAAGATCTTAACGGGGCAATTCATGTTAATTTTAACGTTTTGTTTTATTATTAGTTTTTATAGAGGCAAGCTGTTTTATTATTAATTTTTGTAGAGGCAAGCTCTCACCATGTTGCCCAGGCTGGTCTCAAACTCTTGGGCTTAAGCAGCCCCCCTGCCTCAGCCTCCCTAAGTTTTGGGATTACAGGCATGAGCCACTGCAACTGGCCTAACTCATTGTTTTAGAGATGTGCTCTAATTTATGTAACCAGCTTCTTGTTACTGAGCATTTAGGTTATTGCCAGTTTGCATTCTTTTCCTTTCTTTTTTTTTTTTTTTTTGAGACAGAGTTTCGCTCTTGTTACCCAGGCTGGAGTGCAATGGCGCGATCTCAGCTCACCGCAACTCCGCCTCCTGGGTTCAGGCAATTCTCCTGCCTCAGCCTCCTGAGTAGCTGGGATTACAGGCACGCGCCACCATGCCCAGCTAATTTTTTTGTATTTTTAGTAGAGACGGGGTTTCACCATGTTGACCAGGATAGTCTCGATCTCTTGACCTTGTGATCCACCCGCCTCAGCCTCCCGAAGTCCTGGGATTACAGGCTTTAGCGACCGCGCCCGGCCCAGTTTGCATTATTCTAAAAGAAAGCTTTTGAAGCTGAAATCTTTGTGTACATTCTAAAGTTTGAACTTTGTTAAATTTCCTGGAAGTGTTATTACCTGGTGAAATGTGCTCAAAAAAAAAAAATTGTTGTACACTGCCAGATTACAAGTCTAATATTTTGACAGGAAGGAAAACGCAGAAGCCAGGGCTCAGAAGTCCACAGTATAGTTTTAGGGAGCTAGAATATCTAGAGTTTTGGATAGAACAGGGAGGTGGGAACCTTTGGATTCTGATTGTGAAGAACCTTGATGACCAGGCTAAGAAATACAAAGTCTGTTAACATGGAACATGTAGAGTTTGAAGAGTTTGAGTAACACAAGAAACTCTAGGAGTATTTTGAGAAGAGAAAGAACCTGCAGTGGGGAGAGAAAGCATAACAAGGGCAACTTAATAGTCCAGGCAGAAATTATTAGAGCAAGACGTGTAGACAAGCCTTATATACAAAACACCTCACCTTGATTACTTGCTGGCTTTTTACTTATTACCGTTAACACAGTTGTAATGTTTAGAAGAGGAAAAAGCCTAAGCAGGGACTTTAAAAAGCACTTCTTGGCTGGGTGCCTTCATTTTACTGGATGCTTACATATTTTGTTAGTACTCTTACAGCTTTCCAAAGTAGATATTATTATCCTTGTTTTACAGATGAGAAAACAGATTCAGAGAGATAAGCTGGCTTTGCCCATGGTCACACAGCTAGTGTAGTGGCCCTGAGTTGTTTTTATCCTTTCTCTATTCTGAAACCAGTCCTAATACTCCCTTGCTCCTTTGAGGAACCACTTCTCCCCATTTCCATGAGGTTCTTGTGCTCCTATTTGGCATACCTGTGCTTGTCTTTATCCCTGCAAAGGCACCTAGCTAGAATGGTTGATTTACTTCTTCTCTGTCAGTGTACTGGAAACCCTTGAGGATGAGAACCGGTTCTCATTTTTACCGCAGGCCCTTAGCACAGTGCGTACCAAATGATAGGTGTTTACTGTTCTTTTGGGTTTTTGTTGTTGTTTTGAGATAGTCAAGAGGAAGAAGACCAGAATTCCCCCGGGCAAATGGTCTCAGTTCACTGCTTCAAATAGCATTTATGTTTCATAGCATTATCCCCAGGAGGGCACAGAGAATATATAAATATGTCCCAGAAGAGTTCACACATACTAAGATATGGATAGTTGATATTTTGAAAGTGGTCCCAAACATTTTAGAGTAGCAGAGTTCGAGGAACTTTTACAAAGTAGCTCTTGAGTATACTTTCAGTTCATTGCTAATGCAGTTCATTGTCTTGCTTATGTTCTTAAGGAGATGCACAAAGAGGATAGAAATAAATCTAATTGGCAGCCACTTATATTTGTCATATCATATGTTTAATCTGTGAAAAACAGGCGTAGACTGATTCAGTGGAATGATAAATCAGCTATAATATAAATTTGTAGGTCCCAAATCAAAATGTCAAGGGCATCTTTGATCATGTTACTGCTGACAGGACATTTCCTATGATATTGAAGCATGGCGTGAGATTCTCCCCAACCATTAATTCCACTGTAGTGAGAGTTCTTGGTTTGTATCTTTTCTCTAAACTTAGCACAATGTCTGGCAATTGTAGACACTTGGAAAACAGTATTTCTTTTTTCTCTTTTCTTATACTGCTCTTTGTGGAGCGGGGCAAACTCATAGGCAGTATACCCAGAGTACCAGCCAGAAAATGTTTCTTGAACAAATGAAAACAAGAGAAGGATTTTGTGGTTAGGTTAGGAGTCTTTTTTGGACATTTATCTTCCAGACATATAGAAGATACACCAGGTCATTTGGCTTCAGTTTTTTTCATTTTTGAGATGTGTACTGTATCTGTTCCTTAGAAGCATGGATGAGGATCAAAAAAAAAAAAAATGCCTGTAAACATACTTCAACAAAAATTAAAGTTGTGAAAAGCACAGAGTATGCATGGATCTTAGACTCATATTGAGAGAGAAAAAGCAAGTCTGAGAAAACAACAGTTTGATACCAATTTTTATAGATCTTAAGACAAAAATCAATGAAATACTGTTTAGGCATGCATGTACATGTAATAAAATCATATTTAAAAAGGAAGTGAATGATAAAGACCAAATTCAGGGTTCTGTTTATCTCAGAGGGAAAAGAAGGATGTGAGATAAAACCTAAAAGGACGCAAGTTGGGCTGGGCGCAGTGACTCATGCCAGTAATCCCAGCACTTTGGGAGGCCGAGGTGGGCAGATCACAAGGTCAGGAATTCAAGACCAGCCTGACTAACATGGTGAAACCCCACCTCTACTAAAAATACAAAAATTAGTTGGACTTGGTGGCATATCCCTGTAATTCCAGTTATTCAGGAGGCTGAGGCAAGAGAATCGCCTGAATCCAGGAGGCAGAGGTTGTGGTGAGCAAGATTGTGCCACTGCAGTCCAGTCTGGGAAGCAGAGCAAGACTCCATCTCAAAAAAAAAAAAAAAAAAAAAGACACAAGTTGTTGGTGATGCTCTAGTTGTTGGGGTGGGTGGTGAGTACATGGGGTTTCATTATAATACGCTGTATAACTTGTATGTTGTATATAATATTTATGTGTGTCGAATAATATAGCTTCTAGAAGTGAAAAGTAATGAACGAATACTTGAGGGAGAGCCCCAGACCTATAGTTTTACTGCTTATGCTGGTAGGGTAGATTTAAAGAAGCAGGTAATAAAATAAAAGTCTGAAATGTCTTTATATTATCTCTCAGAATTGATAATGCTCTCATGAAATGTGAAAATAAAAAAGTTATCTATAAATTCAAAGTGGTAGTCATGGAGACCTTGGACTTTAAATTTATATTGATGGTGTCTAGCCTTTTTTTTTCTTTTGAAATATGTTATTACTTTAAAAAAAGTGTGTGTGTGTGTGTGTGTGTGTGTGTGTGTGCATGTGTGTGTGTGTGTTTTTGAGATGGAGTCTCGCTCACCTAGGCTGGAGTACAGTGGCACGATCTCTGCTCACTGCAACCTCCGCCTCCCAGGGTCAGGCGATTCTCTTACTTCAGTTTCCTGAGTAACTGGGACTCCAGGTGTGCACCACCAGGCCTGGCTAAGTTTTTAAAAATTTTTGTACTTTTAGTAGACATGGGGTTTCACCATGTTGGCCAGGCTGGTCTTGAACTCCTGACCTCAAGTGACCTGCCACCCTAGCTTTCCAAAGTGCTGAGATTACAGGTGGGAGCCACTGTGTCTGGCCTAATTTGTGTGTGTGTGTGTGTGTGTGTGTGTGTGTGTGTGTGTATTTTTGTTTTAAAGACGGTGTTTCACCATGTTGGTCAGACTGGTCTTGAACTCCCGACCTCAGGTGATCCACCCACCTTGGCCTCCAAAGTGCTTGGATTACAGGCATGAGCCACCATGCCTGGCCTAATTTGTGGTTATTGAAAAAATTTCAAATATTTTAGAAATTACAAAGTTAATATAAAGGTAATTTAAAAATCTCACTACCCAAATTAACAACTGTTTTAAAAAAATTGGTGAATATTGGGCTGGTGTGGTGGCTTACACTTGTAATACCAGCACTTTGGGATGCCAAGGTAAGCAGCTTGCTTGAGGTCAGGAGTTTGAGACCAGCCTGGCCAAAAAGGTGAAACCCCTTCTATGCAAAAAATTAGCCGGGTGTGGTGGTGCACACCTATAAATCCCAGCTACTTGGAGACTGAGGCACGAGAGTTGCTTCAGCCTGGGAGGCAGAGATTACATTGAGCCAAGATCGTATGCCACTGCACTCCAGTGTGGGCAGCAGAGCAAGACTGTCTCAAAAAAGAACAAAAAACTGATACGTATCTTTCCAGATAGCTTTCCAGACATAGCTGTGCATATATAGGTAAATGTAAGTAGGTAAATATATAACAAATTCCCATAAGTGGGATTATGTTATACATATTATTTTACTTTTTGATTTCCATATTAATTTGTTTAGACTGACATAATCTTTTCTTCCATGCACCATGAATTTTTTGAGTACCTGCTCCCTTGCAGGCAATATACTAGACATTGAGAATGCAGCAATGAACAAGACAGAAAACTCCTGCCCATATGGAGCTTACATTCTAGAGGGGCAGCAGGCTACTGGACCAAGGCTAACTTGAAATCTACCCTGCCTCTAGATATTTTAGCGCTATGAGCTTATAAACTCCCTTTGTTTCTTTTCTTTCTTTTTTTTTTTTTGAGACAGTTTTGCTCTTGTTACCCAGACTGGAGTGCAATGGCGCGATCTCGGCTCACCGCAACCTCCGCCTCCTGGGTTCAGGCAATTCTCCTGCCTCAGCTTCCTGAGTAGCTGGGATTACAGGCACGCGCCACCACACCCAGCTAATTTTTTGTATTTTTAGTAGAAACGGGGTTTCACCATGTTGACCAGGATGGTCTCGATCTCTCGACCTCGTGATCCACCCGCCTCGGCCTCCCAAAGTGCTGGGATTACAGGCTTGAGCCACCGCGCCCGGCCTAAACTCCCTTTATTTCTTAAATTAGTTTGTTTCATGTGTTCTGTTGCTTTCAATTGAAGAGTTCCTTACTTATGTACAACCAGTGTTTCCTTATTCACTATTCTCTGCCTTTGTTGTTGTTGTTAATTTTTAGCACACTCTAGAGGATTCTATGGTGGGACCGACCATTCTCTGCCTTTTATTTCATACTCCAGCCAATCAAAATAGCTTGTTCCCTGTGTATATTATGACATTTCTCATTTGCTTTTGTATACACTGTCTCCTCTATTAGAAATACCCTCATAGCTCTGGCCAGAGTCACATAACTTGGTTTCGGTAGCGTAGAATTTTAATTCTGGTCATAGTATGTATTATGAAAACGGCCCCCTCCTTTTATTCTTTCTTTCTTGGACTATTATTCTTTCTAGTATATCTAAAGGGATGTTACTGTGTACGTAGTGATGTATGTGTATATAATGATGAGAATACTTACATATTTTCATGAATACTATAAAAAATAATTTTTACAGTTGTACAACACCAAGATTTTAAAACTATGAAACCAATGCATTAGAGAAAACATGTTGTCTTACAATTTGGTTTGACATTTTGACTAATAATTTCTTACCTAATTTTCTCCTGTAGGGAATATTTTAACTGAGCCAATTGGCTACTTGGAATCCTGTTTCTCAGCCAAGAATGGCACTCCAAGACAGCCATCCGTTTGTAGCTATTCTCGAGCCTGTTTGAGGATTAGAAAGAGCATCTTTAATAATCCTGAACATTCCCTGATGGGCCTAGAACAGTTTTCTCATGTTTGGTAAGTTGTTTTACAGTTAGATGTAGGACTTGGGGCCAGAACTTGCCCCTGAATAAAGTACTCCAGTTGAAGGCAAGCTTGGAGTCTGCCATCCAGACCACTCTGATCTTTTTGTTTTGTTTTGTTTTTGAGATGGGTCTCACTCTGTCACCCAGGTTGGAGTGCAATATCAGCGCACTGCAACCTTTGCCTCTCAGCCTCAAGGTATCCTCCCACCTCAGCTTCCCGAGTAGCTGGGACCACAGGTATATGCCACCATGCCTGGCTAATTCTTTTTTGTATTTTTGGTAGAGATGGGGTTTTATCATGTTGCCCAGGCTGGAATCTTCATCTTTTGCATGGATTTTTTTTTTTTTTTTTTTGACAGGTGCAATAGTGAGAAGGGAAGAACAAAAAGTTCAATCTGTAGCTGACTGTGAACAATCAGTTGAGATAACTCACTGCCGTCAGACCAGCCTGTTCTATGGAACTTTGTCCTGTATTTGTGTATATGATTGTCTGTGTCATTTAGACATCCTCAGGGAAGCTTGGGATCCACTGAGGTGGCATGTTCTGTTTGCAGTTGATTCTAAGTGTGATGAACACCTGCTGAGTGGGAATGAGAGACCTCCTTGATTCTGCCCCTGGGTCATTATTCTATCCTCTAGACCAGGGGTCAGTAAACTGGCCCATTTTTGTAAGTTAGTTTTATGGGAACACAGTCACGCCCATTTGTTTCTGTATTGTTTGTGGCTGCTTTTGTGCTGCAGCAGTGGAGCTGAATAGTCTCTCCAGTGACTGGCTGGCCTGCAAATCATAAAATACTACTCTCTGACTTTTTACAGAAAAAAATGTGCAGATCCTGCTGTAGACTCACACAGAATTAAGTCTACTCCTGAAAGACAAGACACTGTAGAAATCTGGATGCCTTATGTGTTACCTTTATTAGGGCCTGTGTTACACTAGCATTGTTTGTTGTCATTTCAAATTCTGTCTGTGTTCATTCTTCTTCACCTCAACATCAGCAGTCTGCATCGGTCTATTTTTATTGGTAGAGAACTGAAAATTAAGTATTTATTCTGAAATAGTTTATTTTTCATGTTAGTTTGGGGCAAGAGTATATTAGAAGGAAAATGTGTGTTCTCACCCAGTTTGTATTATGATCCTGATTGAATTATAGGTTAAAGACATTGATGATGGAAAAAATGGGTTCAGAATTATATAAACAGATTTATCCTTATTGTTCCCATTTTTTCCCCTCCCAACCCCAGTCACTCATCAGAGATTATTACTGTTAACAGCATGGTGTAGATCCTGCCAGACATGTTAATGTTTTCTTTCTCAAATATACATAGAAACAAATACATACATACAGAGTAGGTATTTATTTTTTAAAAAGTATACTTCACTTAACAGGCTATACCATGGAGAGCTTTCGTGGCAGTAGATTTACCTTTTTTTTTTTTTTTTTTTTTTTTTTGCTTTATTAGCTGTCTATTATTACAAAATATAGATGTACCATGCACACCCTTGTTAATGGAGGGCTATGTTGTTGTTATAATACCATGACAGACCTTCCCTTAGACACATTTTTGGCCACTTGTGCATTTTTATGAACAGGATATCAGAAGTAGATATGCTGGGCTAGAAGATAAGCATATTTAGAATTTTGGAGAACTACTTTGAAATTATCCTCTAAAATTAACCAATGTATACTTCAATAATATATTCAAATGATCTTTTTCCTACATTCTTCCCAACACAATATGTTAGCAGTTTTTTACGTTTTTGCCTGACAGTGAAAAAGTGTATTTTCATTTTTTAGTTTAATTTCTAAATTTAGAAATTTCTAAGTATTGGTAAAACTTAACATCTTTTCTTGTGGTGCTTAGCTACTTACCATTTTTTTTTGTGAATTACCTATTCATATATTTGTGTTCTTTGCATAGTATCCTATTAGTAATTTGTAGGAACAATTTATGTACCACAGATATTAACCCATTGTCCATTATGTATGTAGCAAACGTTTTCTCTTAGGCTGACATTTTGTAATACATAAATGTAATGGTTTCATGAGTTCAAATCTGTTAGTCTTTCTTCATGGCTTCTTGGTTTTGTATGTTATTTAGGAAGGTCTGGTAATGCCAAATGGAAAAAAAAAAAAGGAAGTTCTGATCAAGTTATTTAACATTTCTGAACTTCAATTTCCTCATCCCAAAAATGGGGGATAAATTATATTACTTAAGATTGTTAAAAAGATTGCATGAAACAAGTGTAAAAATGTTTTACCATACTACCTGGCAAACAGCAGACATTTAGTAAATTTTGTTTATTGGGTACTTGACAAAGGTCTCTTAAGTTCCTATTGTGTGCCAGTTGTTGTGTTGGGTGCAAAGAATGTGGAGATGAGATTCTGTCTTCCTTTAGGGAAGGGGGATGGTGTTATTTTCTTCCTACCAGATTGTAGTTTAATACCATTTAAAAGATGATTTCTGTTGATTTGTGGGAGATTGCATTTTTTTACCCCATCAGATCATTGCGATAAAATAACTTGTGCTCTTTTCTTATTCCATGGTTTGGTTTGTTTTCAATAGGATTTTGTTTGTTTTTCACAAGAATGGTCATTTGAGCTGTAAGGCAAAAGTGCAGCCTCCTAGGCTGAACGGTGCGAAGACTGGAGTTTTTTCCACAAGAAGCCCTCATCGCCCCAATGCAATAGGACTGACTCTGGCCAAGCTGGAAAAGGTAGAAGGTAACTATTTCATTTCTAGTTTTACCTTTTTCCTTACCCAGAAAAGTCTTATAAATAAACACAGCGTTCACCACTGGCTGTTTTTTCAGACGAGTACCAATGATTTTAACTCCTGAGAACCACAAGACATTGAAAAAGATACAGTGATTAAAAGAATGTTAGCATTGAAAAATGTTGAAATAAAGTCTCATAGGATGCTTAGAGTTTGTTTATATTATTACATATATCCCAAACTAGTAAATTATTTAGAAATAACACAAAGATTTCATAATCATTAAATTAGTAACCAAAGTTTCTCTTGACTTGGAATGCAATAAATACAAAATGATTTAAAATAATTTTTCAGTTTAACACAGAATAACTCATTGTACATGCACATATGAAAAACACATAGACTGGTGGTATATTACTCCTTCCTTGTAGTCGTGGGGAAATAGACATCATGGATGCAGCACAGATGTTAACTGTACAATGTAGCAGGAGTCTGGGATGAATCACACTACAAGAACAAACATTGGTCAGATTATAGAAGTTTTAAACTAACTAGTTCTAACTGTGTGTTCATATATAACCTAGTTACACATGTATGGAAAGCATTCCATTTTTTAATCACTCCGACCTAATAGATGCATTTGTTAGAGAGGCAGAACATGAAATGGCAGGTCAACTAGGAGTCAGGAGACCATTCCAGGCTTCAGCCTACTGGTTGTGTAGTGGGCAAAGGAGAAGGACCTGTTTCCTCTGTGATTCAGCAGGATATTTTGAGACTCTTGTAAGACAAAAGTTCTAAAACTGCTTTCGCAGCTATTGGGCACTAGATAGATGAGAGCAGTTATTTTGCTTGTTCTTTCCCATAACTTGAACTCCCTTACTGGATTGTACTTAGCTAGGGGTTAGGTAGTTGTCCCAGAAAAATTCAGTACCTGATCCACCTTGAATTTTATCAATTTGTAATAGCTAACCAATTTGGGTAGCAAGTACTAGAATATTTTATGATTATTCATGTAACTCACACATATTTTCTAGCACTGAATATGTGTCAGGCATTGTCCTAGGTGCTGGAGTTATAGTGGTAAACAAATCAGATAAAAATAAAAATCCCTGCCCTCAAGAACTTAATGTTTCAATGGGGGATGTTAAGTCAGAATGGTTGAAAGGCAAACACAGTAGCACTGTAGACATTACTATACAAGCTTTATGGTAGCTAGTGTTTGTGCAGTGCTTTACGGTTAGTGTTCACATACCTTATCTCCCAGTGGCTCTGTGGCTTTGATAAAGTAGCAATCGCCGTCTCATAGATGAGGAAACTGGGGCTCTTTAATGTTAGAGAATCTGTCTAATAGCATCCAGCCAGGTGATTGTCTGACTAAATCTCTTGAACTCTTACGTATGCTACAGTGCCTTTCTTTTTCCTCCAGATATTGTTAGGCATAATTCATCATCTAGCAAATCTAGAATCATCTTTCCAGAGCTCCGGGCTCATTCATAATAAACATGTTTCAGAAATCAGGGTCCTGTATTAGTTATATTTTTCTTTTCTTTTTTTTTTTTTTTTTTTGAGACGGAGTTTCGCTCTTGTTGCCCAGGTTGGAGTGCAATGGCGCGATCTTGGCTCACCGCAACCTCCGCCTCCTGGGTTCAGGCAATTCTCCTGCCTCAGCCTCCTGAGTAGCTGGGATTACAGGCACACGCCACCATGCCCAGCTGATTTTTAGTATTTTTAGTAGAGACGAGGTTTCACCATGTTGACCAGGATGGTCTCGATCTCTTGACCTCGTGATCCACCCGCCTCGGCCTCCCAAAGTGCTGGGATTACAAGCTTGAGCCACCGCGCCCGGCAGTTATATTTTTCTTAAATGGAGACGGAATCAAATGTGAGTGCATGCAGGTTTTCTGTTCTCATTTGGCTTATTTTCCAAGAGTCAGGTTAGTAGATGACTATTTGCAGCAGGAACTGGACAGTGTCTGTCCAATGGGATGACTGGAGTCTTGTTTTTAGTATTGGTAATGCTGACTTATGTGCTACGTAATTGTTTGAGTCTTCATGGATGTATTAGATTTCTATTGTTATGTAACAAATTACCACAAAGTCATCAGTTTAAACAACGCACATTTATTATGTGTTTGAAACATTATTATGTACCTGTGGGTCAGAAGGATAGGCACAGCTTAACTCAGTCATCTGCCTAGGGTCTCACTAGATTGCAGTTAAGTTGTCAACGGAGATGAGTTCTTATCTGGAGGCTTGACCATGGAAGCATCTGCTTCAGGGATATTCAGACTGTTGGCCACATTGATTTCCTTGCTATTATAGGACTGGGGGCCTCAGATTCTTGCTGTTTGTTGGCTGGAGGCTGCCCTCAGTTCCTAAAGGCTGTTTGCAGTTTCTTGCTACGTGGGCTCCCAGCATGCCTGCCTACTTCAGCAAACCCTCAAGGAGAGTCCCTCGAGTCAGTCTTCCAGTCAGCAGCAGTGCTCATGAAAAGCATAGTCACTGGAGGGACATCACACCTCTTTTGCCATATTCTGTTGGTCAGAAGCCAGTCACACTCAAGGGGAAGGATTATATAAGGGCATGAACTTCAGGAGTTAAAGGGTCACAGGACCACCTTTGGATCTGTTTGCCACAGTAGAAACCCTCATGGGTCCCACAGAGATACCTCGAGGACTACTATGTCTCTGGAACAGAAGCACCAGTGATACAAAGATGAGTTGGCCCCAGCCTGTGTTAAGGGACCTGCCTGCTGTCTAGGGACAAGGACTCTAAGCAGGTCACTGCCTGACCATGGGGAAAGGGCTCTAGCAGAGGTTTGTGCACAGGCTTTTCTATGGGGACTATAGCAATGAATGCTTTTGTCTGAAGCAGCCAGAAAGGCTTTGTAAAAGATGTGTGCTTTGAGGGCCTCAAAGAGCAAATAGGTGTTTGATAGGTAGAGAAGAGGATGGGCTTCCAGGTATAAAGAAGGATGTGTGTTGGTACCAGGTCTGTGTGAGAGAATTGTGAGTAAGCGCAGTGAGGCATAAGCAGACAGTGTTAGAGGATTCTGGGGTATGATTGTATTCTCTAAGTCAGGCGTCCCCAAACTACAGCCTGCGGGCCGCATGCGGCCCCCTGAGGCCATTTATCCGGCCCCCCGCTGCACTTCAGGAAGGGGCACCTCTTTCACTGGTGGTCAGTGAGAGGAGCACAGTATGTGGCGGCCTTCCAACGGTCTGAGGGACAGTGAACTGGCCCGCTATGTAAAAAGTTTGGGGACACCTGCTCTAAGTGTTTGCACTGTTCTTCATTTTTCACGTTTTTATGTCATAGGTGGAACTATATACCTTTCTGGAATTGACATGATACATGGCACACCCATACTAGACATCAAGCCCTACATAGCTGAGTATGACTCACCACAAAATGTGATGGAGCCTTTAGCAGATTTTAATTTACAGAATAACCAACATAAACCAAAAACTGTGTCCCGGTCTGACAGCAAGACTGACAGCTCTGACCAGCGACAGCTCTCAGGGTGTGATGAGCCACAACCCCACCATGGCACTAAGGAGAAACCTAAATGTCCTGAAGACAGAACTTCAGAAGATAACTGCCTGACACACAGTGACACAGCACAAAGTCAGCAGGCATTCCCTATGCACAGGGAGATCACAGCGGATTTTGGTTTGGAATTAAGAAGTGATCAGAGTTCCAGTGTGACAGAAGAGGAAATTGGCCCATATTGCCCGGAGAAGAGCTTTTTAGAGGAAGGTACAAATAAGAAGCTAGAAAGAGTGGAAGGAGCAGCAGTCCTGCAAGGAAGCAGGGCGGAGACACAGCCCAGGGCTCCTCACTACCCTGCTGGAAGGGCTGATGGAGCTCCCCACAGTGTGGTTCCTGCCTGGGTGAGAGAGGCCCCTGTGGCCACTTTAGAAGTGCGGTTTACTCCTCATGCCGAGATGGACCTTGTGCACCTCAGTTCACAAGGTGAACCAGGTATCTTCAGTTTCTTCATTCTGAATGAGAGATGAACTTTTACTCTGAGATTTAGCCAAGTTTGGTATTTCTGAGGTCAGTTATATGGAGTGTTTTTCAGTAAGACTGGTTTTTAGGAAACAGGTATAAAATAATATTTTTGCAGCACCATCATATGATAACTTTTGTTGGACAACTGTGTGGTCAGCACATTTAGTTCCAGGTGGCTGCTGCCTCACAATGTGGCCCTTAACTTTCAGCCCCTTGTCTACTTGTTACAGTAGTTCTTAGAGTCTTCAAATATCATTCAGAAGCTAAATTGTGCTTGTTCTGTACTTAAGTACATGAAGTTTTCTCATTTGTTTTGCTGTCTGACTACAGAAATGTTACATTGTATTCTGACAGTCAGGTAGCCCATAGCTTAGCCTCTGGCAAAGACAACTCCAGGAGCATGGGAATTACCCCAAAAAAGTCTCACTGCTAGAGGCATGCATTTTCTTGCAGAAGAGAGGCCACAGAGCTCTTCTGTGGAGGCTGCTTACTTAAACAACATTCTTAATAAATGTTACCTGGTTTCACTAGCCCACAGCAGATCCCAAGCAGCAGCCTAGAATGAAGAGGTGTTAATATGTGGATACGATATCAGTAAAAAGTAACTAGTTGCAGGCCGGGCCTGGTGGCTCACTCATGTAATCCCAGCACTTTGGGAGGCTGAGGCGGGTGCATCACTTGAGGCCAAGAGTTGGAGACCAGCCTGGCCAATATGAGGAAACCCTATCTCTATTAAAAATACAATAAATTAGCCAGGTGTGGTGGCAGAAGCCTATAATCCCAGCTTCTTGAGAGGCTGAGGCAGGAGAATCACTTGAACTTGGGAGGCAGAGGTTATAGTGAGCCAAGTTGGTGCCACTGCACTCCAGCCTGGGTGACAGAGTGAGACTCCATCAAGAAGAAGCTGCTAGTTGCCAAGGAGATGTCAGATTGCAAAAAGCTGTTCTTTGTGTTACAACTCAGTAAAGAGCCAGTATAGCCGTATAAACAGGGAAGTTCATTTATTCATTCTACAGCTGTTTACTGAGCTTCATCTAGGTACCAGACATTGGACTAGGTTCATGGAGTACATCACTGAACAAAACAGATTTAAAAATCCTCTGCTCTCATGCACCTTGCATTCTAATGGGGAGGAGAGAGACAAACTAAAAGCATAATAAGCAATCAAGTTATTATACCAAATATACTCAACATTATATTATATTAGAAAGTGATAAGAGTCTTGGAAAAATTTAAAAGAGAATACAGCAGGATTGGGGTGTTACTATTTTTAATTTTTGAGACAGGGTCTCACTCTGTCACTGAGGCTGGAGTGCAGTGGCAAGAACATGGCTTACTGCAGCCTCAACCTCCTGGGCTCAAGCAGTTCTCCCACCTCAGTCTTCTGAGTAGCTGGAACTGTAGGGGTGCACCACCACACCTGGCTAATATTTTGATTTTTTTATAGAGACAGGGCCTCATTTTGTTGCGCAGGCTTGCCTTGAACTCTTGGGCTCAGGGGATCCTCTGTCTCAGCCTCCCAAAGTGCAGGAATTACAGGTGTGAGCCACTGCACCTAGCCTGTTGCAATTTTAAATAGGTGGTCCCAGTGGGCCTCACTGAGAAGACACATATGAGCAAAGGTCAAAGAGGTGAAGACATAAGCCAAACCTGTCTACCGAAAGGACATGCTAGCCTGAGGGACAGCCAGCGCACAGCCTCAAGGTGGAAGATTCATGGCACATTTGAGGTCACGTGGCCAGAGTGGACTGAGGAGGGCTGAGTGGAAGGATATGAGGTCAAAAAAGTACTAGAAAAGGGACGAGGTCATCTAAGAGTTTTATAAGCCATTGTAAGGACTTGAGTTTTGCTCTTGAGAGGAGTGAAAGGCAGAGGGACTTGATGTCTGTATCCCCAGAGAACAGGAGACCATCTCTGGGTTCAGATTGCTACCTGGGTGATTTCTGGGTTGTCACACCTCAATGACATGCACAGGCAAGCTGGAATTCCTTATTGAGACAATAAAGACTTTCATTCCATATCCAGAAAATAAAGGCTTACACAATACTAGATTTTCCCCTGCTTTGCAAGCAGGGAGAGAATGAAGAGGCTAGTGGAGTATTTGGCTTTGATACTCCAACCTGAAGGAAGTTCTTCTGATGGGAAAAAAGAAGTCTAAAAGTTGGTGCTAGAGATACATGACATCTGACTCTGAGATTTCCCCATTTCTTCCTGTCAGAGCCTCAGCCAGCCCATACTGTTGCCTTTTGCAAAGGAAAAGCCACCACTTCCTCTGGATGGAGGCAGCCACCCGCCAGGGCCCAAGCACTGGTTTTAGCCCCAACATGCCAACCTCAGCAGGGTACCATATGCAGGGCACCCCCTGCACCTCTGGGTGTGGCAGACTTATGGTCACAAGAGGTGATGTCACTTGAGGGTTGTGCTTCTCATTCGTTCTTAAGCCTTTATTTATTTTATTATTATTATTATTTTTTGAGACAAAGTCTCCCTCTGTAGCCCAGGCTGGAGTGCAGTGGTGCAATCTCAGCTCACTGCAACCTCTGCCTCCCGAGTAGCTGGGACTACAGGCATGTGGCACCACACCCAGCTAATTTTTGTATTTTTAGTAGAAACAGGGTTTCACCGTGTTAGCCAGGATGGTCTCGATCTCCTGACCTTGCGATCCACCTGCCTTGGCCTCCCAAAGTGCTGTGATTACAAGCGTGAGCTACCGCACCCACCTAAGGCTTTACTTTTAAACAAAGCTTTTGATTTTAAAATTGATCTCTTTATTTTAAAAAGTTCTGTTAATGGAGATTATATCATCACTGTATACAGTTGATGGGAGGAGGATGATCGGTTGTAAAAGGATTTTGTGGTGGAACAAAACAGTCCTGCCTCCTGGACACTTTATACTTACCTCTTGTCCCATGGTTATTGTCGAATGCAACCCACTATGGAAGGTTCTCTTTTTCTAACTGCAGTGCAGTATGTGTCAGGTGTTTGAAATATGCCTTATTGATTTAAAAAGTGGTTCAAATGAGAAATTAGGCTGTGTAACTAGAAAGCAGGAACTGATCACAAACAGCAAAATGCAGAGCCGTTGCAGAAATAAGAAATGACTTCAGGAAGTTCTGAGTTTAGAAGAGGGTAAAGGTGTTGAAATGGGAGGAAGTTTGGTGCTAGAGTAAAGGTCTGGGCAGAGTGCTGTGGGCATTCTGAGAGGAGAATCCTGACTTGGGTCGGGGAGGGTGTGTGGGAGGAAATGGTACTTGAGCTTTGCTTGGCAGGATGAGTAGGCAGGGAATTGGGGGAAGGCACCCATGCCCGATGAACAGCCAAGCAGAGGCTGGAGCCTCTACCAGAAATGCCGTCACTGGAGAGTGTGATGAGCTCCTAATTTTTGAGTGGCCTTTGGAGCCATTTTCTATGAGCCATGCAGTAAAGGAAACTTACTGCCATATAATTGATTTTTTTGTTTGTTTGTTTGAGATGAGAGTCTTGCTCTGTTGCCCAGGCTGGAGTGCAGTGATGCTATCTTGGCTCACTGCAACCTCCACGTCCCATGTTTAATTGATTTTTCTGCCTCAGCCTACAGAGTAGCTGGGATTGCAGGTGTGTGCTACCATGCCCAACTAATTTTTTTTTTTTTTTAATTTTATTTTTAGTAGAGACGGGGTTTTACCATGTTGGTCAGGCTAGTCTTGAACTCCTGACCTCGTGATCTGCCTGCCTCAGCTTCGCAAAGTACTGGGATTACAGGTGTGAGCCACCATGCCCAGCCTATATTATTGATTTTTGACTAAAAATTGTACTTCATGGCTTTATTTACTCAACTTGCTTATTAAATATAGCCCACAGTGATTTTTGGCTGCTTATAGAAATCAAATCCACTCCAAAGGGATAAATATCCACCCCCACCACAGATGATATTTTGAGTCGGGGCAGCGTTTTTAAAGGCTATACCTTCCTGGAAGGGGCTGGCCTTCATCTGGATGTATGTGATGTGAAAAACTAGGTTGCAGTTACTTTTTAAATTTATGTTTTATACATACTGTATTTTAAAAAATTAAAATACATTAAAAATCCTACAAACATAGGAAGTTTTGCTGTTCTTTAGGGACACAGATGTGAGAGAGTCCCAAAACAAAGGGACGTTACTGGTAACTGTGAAGCTATGACACCAGCTTTCTGGTGCAGCCTCTCTTGCCTGTAGCTGGTGTTTTGGGAGTGTGTGGGTTCTCTTTCTTGTGACTTTCTGAGGATGCTGGGACTGCCATCAATTTCCTTGTCTCTGTTCTGAGAAGAAAATGACAAGGAATGAAAGTTACACTGAGTATAGAAAAGTGACATTTTGGATGTCAGGAAAGTGTCATTTTGGTTGACAGAAAATGAAAGCTCACCTCTTCTAGTTAGGAGACTAAGGAAAAATGCTACCATGTTTTTTCTGTTCAGTAGAACGAAAGTTTGGGGGTGTATAAGTTAAGCCTAATGACAATAAAGACCTCTTAAAGGTGACGGTCTCCGTAATGATCACATCAGTTTCCAAACCCTGTTCATGTTAATCGATCTTTAAGGAACCAACCAAATTCCATACTGAAGTTTGTTGTTGTGAAATTTAACCTGCATGATACTGCTCATTGTGTTCTTTTCATTGCAGATGTTGGTCAGGCATCATTTAAATATTTTCAGTCAGCCCGGGAAGCAAAGCGTGCCATCGAGGCTGTGCTGTCAGCGGACCCTCGGTCTGTGTACCGCCGGAAGCTTTGCCAGGACCGCCTTTTCTACTTTACCGTAGACATAGCGCATGTCACTTGCTGGTTTGGTGATGGCTTTGCAGAGGTTCTGAAGATCAAGCCAGCTTGTGAGCCTGTTTATATGACTGAGCCTGTGGAGTTCTTGGTGCCTCTAGGGTCTTAAGGAGCCTCTGTCATGTCTTTAAGATAGCATCATTGATCTTTGGTTCTGGCTTTTGGATTTTCTGAAGAAGCTAATGTACCAAGAAGTAACACTTTGTGATCTCACTGCTTTCATTGATTTGGGCTGTTTAAAATGTTTATTTGAAAAATGCATACTTTAATAAACTTAACTAAGAGATAGAAAATACAGAGAAATCACCAAATGCTTTTTGATCTGTTGATATTAAAGAATCCAAAGGTGATGCTATGTTGAAAATTTCTGAAAGAAGCTCTTCTTGGTGCATTTGATAAAATTAGACAAAGGTCATTCCAGCAGAAACTTTGTAGTTGAGGGGATCTGTTCAACAATTCATATTGGTTTTCCTGTGTGTCTGGAAAAGCTTGACCTTTCTATTTTATTCCAACTCAAACCTGTATCTTAGGAAACTGACAAATCAAAAACAAGTAGTTAAGAGATAGTTTTTGAGATTAAACTTCTATATTTCAGAGACTTTGTGACATACACACATATGTATATGTATGCATACTTAATACTGATTCTAAAATAGAGACTCTCTGAGATTTCTTTGGCTGTCTTTGTATCAGAAAAGGAAACTACCCCCAGAAGTTCAAGAAAATAATTACTGTTTTTTAATATACTCATTCTGTAACTATTTATTGAGAACCTACTATGGACTAGGTTTTTGTGATAAAATGAGATGAACAAGATGTAGTTCTTGTTGCAAGTCATGGTTAGGGGAAGAAGTAAGACATAAACAAATTACTGTATTACAGTGTGAGAAATACAGTAATTATATGTGGTTCCTCTGTAGTACCACATAGGAAGCAGTTGTAAGAATGTATTGCCTATAGGTGATTTTAATGATGTGATCCCAGATAACTGAGGATTTATGATCAACATAACCAAATTAGACACCTGTCAACATGATACATGCTTTCCTAATCATGATTGTAAATCTTAATAGCTGATTGAAATGAGCTGATTGGAATAGTCTTGAATAGTTTTGAAATGAGCCCTACTGCCTGTGGATACTTGCGCAGAGTCATTTATGGCTGATGACACTACTCCTAAACCAAACTGGTCTGTAGTTGCCTTTAATGTTTACTTAGAACTTCTTGGGGAAGTATCTTTAATTTGATTTTTTTTTAAAAAGATGTGGGTCTCTTGCGCCCAGACTGGAATGCAGTGGCCTGATCATAGCTCACTGCAGCCTTAACCTCCCAGGCTCAAGGGATCCTCCCACCTCAGCTTCCTGAGTAGCTGAGCCTACAGGCTCATGCCATCAGCCCCACTATTTTTAAATTTTTTTGTAGAGACAAGGGTCTTGCCTTGTTACCCAGGCTGGTCTTGAACTCCTGGCATCAAGCAACTCTCCCTCCTCAGCCTCCTAAAGTGTTGGGATTACAGGCATGAGCCACTCTGCCTGGGCTAATTTGATTTTTTTTTAAAGCTTTTGATTTTGAAATCATCATAAGTTCACAGGAAATTGCATAAAGTAGAGGTCCCATTTACTCTTCACCCAGCTTTTCATTTAACTTCTTCCAGTGGTTCCATCTTACATAACTATAGTAAATGCTAAAGATAGGAAGTTGACACTGGTACAGCCTATACTTTAGTTTGATTTTGTTCTCTTTTCTTTTGAAAAGTTGTTTTGAAGCTAAATCAGGGCTTGAAGCACAAAATGTTGTTTAATATGTTAACAATGACTCTGGGGGATAGTAACCAACCACCAGCCTGATAACAAGAGGAGTATTAAGTTGTTTGGGGTTTTATTATACAGTCTCAGGATTTTAGAGGTAAGCAGGATTTTAGGCCAGGTGTGGTGGCTCATGCCTGTAATCAGCACTTTGGGAGACTGAGGCAGGTGGATCATTTGAGGTCAGGAGTTTGTGATCAGCCTGGACAACATGGTGAAACCCCGCCTCTATTTAAAAAACAAAAATCAGCTGAATGGTAATGGCATGCACCTGTAATCCCTACTCTGGAGGCTGAGGCAGGAGAATTGCTTGAACCCGGGAGGCAGAGGTTGCAGTGAGCTGAGATAGTGCCACTGCACTTCAATCTGGGGGACAGAGTGAGACCCTGTCTCAAAAAAATAGGAAGGGTGTTAAATATAATCCGGCTCAGTCTTCTTCCAGTTCCTGAGTCTCTTCAATGTTGCCAGTATTTGGCCTCTCCAGGCCCTGCCTGAACACCCTCAGAGATGAGGTATTCACCCCTGACCTGTGCAGCTTGTTCTTCGTGGGCAATGCTCATTATTAAAATGTTCTTTCTGAACATGAGCTCCACTCTGTGTCTGACAGCTCTGCCCACTAGTGATGCCACACAGTGAGGCTGGTTGACCTCCCAAGTTAGCCTGTCAGGCCACCCCTTGGTCTTCCCTAGGCTGAGCACCCCCATTTTCTTCAGCTGTTTCTTATAACGTGATCTGAAGACTCTTCCGACACCTAGTCCTTCTTGAGTCCCCATATGAGCATTTTTCTCTGTGGGTGCAAATTTAAGTGTCCTTTGTGAGGAAATGTACATCTCTAGTTGGTGAACTTCCATCCCTTAGAAGGATAAATAGAAGCAAAGGTTAAAAACAAGCTGTTTATGTCTTGGAAACTTTTTATTTATCCATCCAAGCTTTTTTTCTTTGAAAGCCTTTGAAAGGCCGGGCGCGGTGGCTCAAGCCTGTAATCCCAGCACTTTGGGAGGCCGAGGCGGGTGGATCACGAGGTCGAGAGATCGAGACCATCCTGGTCAACGTGGTGAAACCCCGTCTCTACTAAAAATACAAAAAACTAGCTGGGCATGGTGGTGCGTGCCTGTAATCCCAGCTACTCAGGAGGCTGAGGCAGGAGAATTGCCTGAACCCAGGAGGCGGAGGTTGCGGTGAGCCGAGATCGCCCCATTGCACTCCAGCCTGGGTAACGAGAGCGAAACTCCATCTCAAAAAAAATAAAAAATAAAAAAGCCTTTGAAAGCAAGCCATCATCCAAGCTTATTTCCACTAACCTAGAGAATTAAATATACCTGATTTGTAGCACAAAATAAATACAAGGTAAAAGTTCTCTCCAACCTTCCATCAAGTGGTTTACAAACTGTCATTGATTTTATGTCTGGAATGAAGTTGTTTTGGTGCATGTGTGCATACACATGCACACACACGGATATACACTAATCCTAAAAATGAGATGGAGATGAGCTGCAAGAAAACTCAAAAGTGCCGTAAGTATAACTATCAAAAATAGTGTTACAGCTTTAGAGTCCTTTTGTGTTCTGTTTGTATCAAAATCACATTTAGGAGGTTCTTTATAGGTGGGAGGGGAATACGTCAAGAGGAAGAGGTTGCTTGATTCTTAGTCCCTTAGATTATGAAGGCTCTCTGGCCAGAGTTTTGGAAAACGGATTATGTCAACAAGTAAACTTATGGTTTCAGGACTGCCTTAGAAACTTTTTCAAAAGAAGAAAGGAAAGTTCTCTACTAGGCATTAATGGCACCCTCCTTAATTTTTAGCCTTTGCCTTTTGATTCCTGTAGGGGGAGCCCTTGATAGCGGGTTTTTCCACCTTCGACACTGGCTTGGAGGAAAACTCCAGGAGTTCAAGCTGTTTAGGTAATCTTGGCATTTGGCCCATCTGCCCCAGCTTTGAAGGACAGTAACTTGTACAAGCAATGCTGTCTGATGCTTGTCAGTCACATGTGAGAAGAGATTAGGAAGATGAGTGGCATGTATTGATTTTTTAAAAACTGTAAGCTTGGCTTCAAGGGTGGGATTGATTATGTGGATCTTTGCACAACCAGGTACGCTCGTTAGCTAAGCCCATGAACACACACGAACAAGGCACTGAACAAGGCACTGACTGTGCTTCCGTGTGACTTTTTTCTTGGAAAGAAGAAAATGAAGTTGACGTGAATCCATCTCCTATTGGTGGGGTTTTTAAAATGCTACGGTCCCAGAGATAGCAGGGGAAGACTCAGTAAAAGTGAAAGTCTGCATCACTGAACTTCTACCATGTCCTTGTAACTGGGCTATGCACTTTTTGTACATTGGTTGAAGGTAAAGTAATGTGCTCAACTGTCAGCTGGTCAACCACACAGCTAGGATTCCAACCCAGCAGCCTGGCCCAAGTCCACTTTCTTCTCAGCCTGGCTCTGCCACCTTCTTCAGTACACAAGTGAGTGCTTAGCAAACCATGCTGGTTTATTGGAAGGTCAGCAGTTCCATATGCTTCAATACAGGACACTTTGGCAGAGTGAAGTCATGGAAATCCAATCATTCGTGAAGAATGCACAGAGAAATGGAGCAGAAACACCCATTTCCACAGGATCTGCATGGACCCTCCTGGGTAGCAGGATGGGAAATATGAACAGCACCAGGCTTGGCCTCAGAACTTCAAGCACTTGCTGCCCTACCATGGGCTAGCTCATGACCTCAGGCAAGCTGCTGCACCCTGCCTCCAGATCTGTGACCTTACAGAGTTGTTGCAAGGATGCTTGGGAAAGTGTCTTTGGAACTCTTCAATAGCCTATAAACCTAGGTAATATTTTTATTGTGCTTCTCTTCATTGATAGCCTTTCTCTACCACTCTACTCTGGCTTACCTGGCTAGATAAACCGAGTTCAAGGGGATCTAAGGGGTCCCTAAAATTCAATGGATGGATGGTTTGGTTTTGGTTTTGGGTTTTGGTTTTTGAGGCAGTCTTGCTCTCTTGCCCAGGCTGGAGTGTAGTAGTGCAGTCATGGCTCACTGCAGCCCTGTCCTCCTGGGCTCAAGTGATCCTCCTGCTTCAGCCTCCTGAGTAACTGGAACCGCAGGTGCTTGCCACCATGCCCGACTATTTGTTTGTTTGTTTTTGGAGACAGCCTCTCTCTGTTGCTGAGGCTGGCATCCAGTGGTGCAGTCATAGTTCACTACAACTTCTGCCCCTAGGCCCAAACCATCTTCTGACCTCAGCCTCTTGAGTAGCTGGGACTACAGGCACATACCACCATGCCTGGCTAGTTTTTGTATTTTTGGTAGAGACAGGGTTTCACCATGTTGCCCAGGCCAGTCTTGAACTCCTGACCTCAAGTGGTCTGCCTGCTTTGGCTTCCCAAAGTGCTGGGATTACAGGCATGAGCCACTGTGCCCGACCTGTCTTTTTAATTATAGAAATTTTTTTTAAGGTTGGGCTTGAGAGGCTAAGGTGGGAGGATTGTTTGAGCTAAGAAGATGGAGATTGCAGTGAGCTGAGTTTGTGCCACTGCACTCCAG